GTCTATTGGGGTAGGTTGCCGGTATTTTTCGGAGTTGTTGTTGTTGGTCGTGGCCCGTTTTATCTTTGTTTTTAAAAGGAGATTAAAAAAGGACGACTTTATGCGGTAAGTAGAGAAGTAAGTCTATTCTTTTAATTAGTTTGAATAGCATAACGTTACTATAACGAATTGTATACATCCTTGCGTTCCATACTTGCTTTTTTCTGCTAATAACAGAGCTGCATAATCCAGGATTAGGAGAAATTGTGTTAGCCCAATTTAAGCAGATATTGTTTGAAAGTTTCACAGTCTGCGGTAGGAACTCACTAATTCCGATCTAATAGCTATAATCGAGATAAAGAATAAAGTTTCATACCACTGATCTGCCATTTGAATACTTCAACAAATCAATGTTTCATGACACCGGAGAACTATAACTTAACTAAAAGAAGTTTATAAGTGACGTACTTCTAAAGTTGTTTTGAATATACTTATTACAAACAAAACGTACTGAGTTTCCTCGGTGGCAAAGACAAATTGCAATACTTATTTTGAAATTCTGTTAACAAAGTCTCAAATTTTTGAAACAATAGTTTTGGTTTGTTAGGGTTTATGTAGGTTATGTATGTTATGGGCATTTCTAATTACAAACCTTATATTCACACAGTTATGTTAAAGCTAATTTATTTTCATTTTATCTGTATTAGGTATATAGTGCCATATCTTCACAGACACAACACAATGCCTCAGTTTTATTAATTACTTGCCTTGATGTATAAATACAACATTATAGTCTGATGCGAGACGGCAGTTGATGTCGTACAAAATAAATTATCTCCAACAATGACACATCTTAAGACGATCGACCTTGTGAATACAATGCATGTTTACATAATCTTTGCTCTGATTAGCTTTACAATTCATAATTGAGAGTACAAAAAAGGTTGATTAAATGATTCCAGACACATAGGCTTTGCAAATTGGATTAGAAGTGCAACTAGAAAATTAAACTAAATCATATTATAAAAATAAAAATGCTCTATAACATTCTGTTTAATACCATTTCGATAATATATTCATATCTACTAAGGTATTGTTTCTGAACTTCCTTCAAATTACTTTCTAACGAATATAAATGACGCACCTGCATTGTGGATCGCAGGTAATATTATATTTTATGTCTTTTAATATACTTTTATGTTATTTAACGTTCACATCTCCAATGAAGTCAGAGAAATATTGGATCTATATTTATCACATCATACATATAACATTAAACTCAACATATCAACCATCTAGTGCCACATTTATTGCTTCAAAACTTTAACGGCTAGCTTGACGCATTCACACAATTACACAAGTCTAATTCCTTAATACTATGAATGGATACATCATTAAAAAGTTTTCAATGAATCTGTATTCAAATCTTGATAATGTTCAAAGTGGTTCAAAGTCTTTACGTTGAGTAGTTCAATCGTCTAAACTTTATCAGCAAGAGTAAAATATGTTCTGTTCATAAAATAATGAGGGTAACACTTTGTTACTTATTTATGTTTACATATGGGCCTATTTAGCTTAATATGGGTATATACGGGAGCCATTTAATCGATTGTTCATCCATGCATTATAGGAGTGCTTTGATTACAGCTTCCTCTCCTTTATTTATTTCTAAACTGTTCATCGAGGTTTTTTTGTCCTGGACCTTTTGTTGATTAGCAATATACGTATCTAAAAGCAGATGCTTTGTTGGTCCTACTTTCGTATAAACAGGTAATTAAGCTATTCGACCGAGTATCGATAATTGTAACAGGCTGGTGACTCAATGTTATCCAAAGGAAGGTTTAATTAATGATGTTATGTGACCGACGTTTGTGCATTATTGATCAGAAACCTACTTTATAAAATAAAATCCATAACGAACTACAGCTTTTAAAACAATACCTTACATAGGAAGTTTATATTTGTCATATAGGGTACTGAAAGTTATGAAAATTAATCTAAACCGACCTCAACCTCCTTCCAAACGGAGGCAATCTTATGAACCAAAAACGCATGATATGTTAAATACAATCCTTTAAGATACAATAATACAAGAAACACAATATATTAGTGTGTTGTAATGATAAAACGAAGTTTAATAATATGATTCTTGCCAGAACTGAAATGAAACAAATTATGTTTTAAATTGCCTGTCTTATAACTGTAATATATTAGTGTTTGCTGCAACGCGCAGTAGTACAAAACTAGCACAGACTTACGTCGCTGGCTTATAACTAACTACTAATTCATTTTGAAATCTAACTGGGACTCTGCTAATTGTGTTACTTAGTGCATGTCTGCTAGTAGATGTAAGCCGGAGTAGAATATTTAAGAAGTAATTTTCAGGATCTTGTTCACTGATATTATTCGTTCTGGTGCATGAAAGTCGTAGGACTTATTTCTTGAACAAGTTCTTGAGTATAATACGAATAGAATGAAAAACTTGACTGAGACACAACTTATCCTAGTAACTATGAGAACATGTTTATCGCACGGCACGACTACGACAAAACGTATTTAGACTAGAATTGATTGATGTTATTAAAATCGTATTACTGTTCTTCATAACTTCTGTTCTTGTTCCTAATACTAAATGTTTATGCTTTCATGGTAAACAAGGAACTGTAAATATTGCTCTACAAGATAATAGTAACTTAATTCATACCACACACGACTGTTTGATTTTTAATTAGACAGAGCCTTTTATTATTGTAACCAGACTACTGACAAACATACACATTTGTATATATTCTAAAAATAACTTACAATCAGATTACGTGTTTCGGTAAGGCCGGCAAGGTATTTGAATTATTGTTATTTAATTAAAACCTACGTGTTTTGTTAGCATGATTGTGATCATTGTGAACAGTTCAATAAGTTGATTCCTCTACCTAAATTCTTGACTTGAGTATTAGCATGAAGTTGTATATCCTTAATAGAAAGGCTATTACATTTTGCGAATTGGACAGAAACCGACTATTAGATCTTATGATTAGCGAATTTTTAATTTGCCAATGTTCCGACAGAATAAAATCAACAATAAGTTCAGATAGGAAAAGACCTGGAATAGGTTAGATCTACTAAGATTTCTAAGTATCTATGTTTGTATTTACATACACAAATTTTAGCGAAATTGACTAACTTCGTTTCGCAGTATGCCCATTTGCAGTTCATGCAAAATGCATACCCAATCTTTTCATGATCATCATCATCTTTCTGCATTATTCCTAAGTCTTTTGGTGTCTGCGCAACTAGTATCATTTCAGGTTTTGGCCGGTTTCTCATATTGCCAGTCAACCGCCTGAATCCTGGGTTAATAACAGGCACTTGTGATAGTAATTATTTTACTGTCCCAAATATATATACCTCAGCCTATGCTTGTCCACTGCTGGACATAGGCCTCTCCCAATGATATCCAGCGGGGACGGTTAAAACAAAAAGCCTAGTACAAAAGACAGGACAAGAAATAAATTGGGAATCGATTATAAGAAAAACATATGGCACGACAAAGCCAGGGCCAAAGATATCGCAACTCCCAAATGTAAAAACGGAAAGGAGATTGCAAGACTCAAGGAGCCCGCAGTTGCATATCCAAATATCCATATAATCTACTGAAATGGAGACTAACAGGGACGAAGCTAGAAAACGAAATACTTTCATAAAATGACTCTCTAAACGTCCTTTTACCTCGTTCTGGTAGACATTTATCGTTATTATCAGTTGAAATTAAAAAAATCATTAACGATACGAGTATAGCCTTTCTACATGCCAACAACATTTATTCATGGGATTAGTGTGTAAAAGTTGCTTATGACCAGCTTCTGATCGGACACACGGGTTGTATGACAGTGCATGTTTTTACATTAATTAAAAGTATTACCTCCATATTGTAATGCAAATGAAGGAATGATTCTATTCTCATTGACGATAACTGACTTGGATCAAACATATATTATTTATATTCGACTCTTTGATCTTATAAATCTTTGTATCAGTGTCTTTGTAAAGAATCTTTGTCCAAATTGTCTTTTTTATTTAAACAAAGGGAACATAATTATGACTTTGTCCCTATGTTACACAGAAAACAGAAATAAAATGGAATAAACGTGAAAGCAACAAAATAAACTACATATTCGAAGTGATGTTTGAAACTCTTCTATATAAAACAGTGGCGAAAAATAGACGAGTAAGTTTCAATGCCGAAGCCAGTCTTAATAGTTCAAGTGCAAAGTTTGGACTACTTTGAGATCATATTATAAAACCAGTATTTCATCAAGTATATGCATTACTACCTAGGCGAATATAATAGAAATACGTATCGAGATTGACTTAAACTCTATAGACTCTATAGAGTAGATAGACCTTACCGTTTGTTGCTAAAATTTTATATTTCTTTGAAACCTAAATTAGAATAGATTCTTGTTTCTATTTTAATTCGCATCTGTTTTTGTTTCTTGGAAGCTTATCGTATCGAAAAGATCATTAAATGCTAGCCCACTCAGTGGAGGTCTTATTTTTACATAATACAAAGGCTGTCTTCGCTCCGATAAAACTAGATGTATTTGTTAGGAACGAAGAAAAATAACTATAGTTTAGTAAATTCAAAAAAAAATATTTAACTCTGACTGTATCATAAAACTATTGTTAAACCATGAGGAGGAAGGAGAAGGAGGCCAATAGATTGGCTGCTGTTGTCCTCGATGGTAGTCATATTATGATTACAATCTTGAAGGATATACTAGAAGCCACTAAAGCATTCAGTTATCATTCTCTTGGTTTCTTGATCAGATTAGCTCCTGATAACCAAATTGTAGTATTAACATTCGAATTAGGTAAACATAGAAAGTTTCATTTCGATATGACTATTAGGTATACTCGTAGATATAAATTTACTTGTTTATATAGCTAGTTAGTTCATTGGTAAGTAAAGCTAAGGTCTAAAACATGTAACTGTAAAAAATAATATTATTTAGAATACTTACTTGGCATTCTTAGGAGTATTTTCAGGTTGACAGCAAGCTCTGTATCGAAGCACAGTCTCAGTAGGAGTGAGAGCTTCGATTTCGTCCGGCGCTGCATCACACTCGTCTGTGACGAGTGGCGCACGCGCCGGCGAAGTATGGGACCCGTACCCGTCGGAATTCAGCTGTAAATTAGTACACACTAATATTATGATACTATAGGTACTTGGCCATTTCTGTGGTTACCGATTCTTGAAGCAGGCTATAGAAGTATCATTATCGTTATAAAAACCATTTAAAGCTGGGAAAAATTCTACAATTAGGTAGGAAGGCTATAACTTACTAACTGGTCCTATTAGATCTGACTTTAAAAAAACAGGAGACGAATATGAGCTCTCTTATTTTTTTTAAATATCTACGGGTATTTAGATCGTATTTGGACTTAAGAACAGTATTTCAAAAGTAGGTAAGAGTGTCTCAGGAGACGAAAAACCATTGTTTTGCAGCTGCAATGATGCTGCGTCCAGGTCATAAGTATTCAGCCTCTGTACTATTTATTATATTTACAATGTTTTTAAACAGGTATTTGTTCGTTTAACTCTATATTCCTAACCATCTGTTACATAGTCATCTGATACCTTGTTTTTTCGTTAATTAGTACCTCCGTACTTCAAACTTATCAACCTGGTTTGATGCTTTATATTTCACTACACAACGTTATTTTATTAAATGTAAAAAAAATATATGGAAATCTTCGGCCCACGAGACAAGAAGCTGTTCTAATATACACTACGAATTCTTAATTTAATCATAGTCTATCGTCTCGATACTCTCCAGAGATGCTGGATCATAATTTGAAGACGTTGACCTGAATCTTTTATGTGAGGGCTGACTGAATGTTTTGATTACCCAGCAATCTGTGCTGGGTAATCAAAACATTCAGTTTAATTTTCATGTCCTTTGAATTATTTAGGTAAGAACTTAATGTATTCGACTACATATTGACACTATAAAAAATAATAGGTAATACGAACAAAACATCTAGGTAGGTGACATCATCAAAAACAATGCAATGCCATACCATTGCAAATTTTATCGCATCATACTGCTCGTAGTTCTAAATCCGTCGAGGTATTTTCATGGCCAGTCATACAAAATCAAGTTAATAGACTTTATATGCTGTAAACAACACTACTAGTAATACCTTGTGCGTTGCTAATTCATTTACACATACTACATTTCGTTAACAGAGCAACAAGTGTACGGTATAGCGGTCTATAATTTAAACCGGTCTACTGTCTCTTTGCAAAAGTATTCGATCGAGTGGTGTATCGATTGTCATTTTAATGCGGATCGTATTTGTTTTGATTCTAATCTGGATGTCTCATCATGCCTTGGAGAGATTAAAAATGTGCTCTTCTATGAGTTCTAAGATTACGATCATTCTAAGATTGCCTATTTCACTCTAGATAGGTAGGGTAGATAGGTAGATACTATTTACAATTGGTTCTGATTTTTTTTAACATTTTCAAGATTTCATTAGTACTTTCGGTAGTACGTTTGACAAAAAACATCTAATGAATCTACGACTAATTTTCTATAGCCGTTCACTAAATAAACTACTGAACTACGTGCGGTGATGCGATGATAGGAAGGTGTATTGGTTATGACTAGATTTGAAAACTAAGACAGGAATACTAGAAGATTGATAAAGATTGAAAAATAATCCGTTCTGTTTAAATTGGCCTGTCGAACATTGTTTACGTTGATGCTGTTTTTCTTTGTGATGAATAAGTAAGATAGTAGTACGTTTACTATTATAATTTTGTAAGGAACTTGTATTTCAAATCGTAATTCACCTTTGATAGATGTTCGTGTTTCCACTTTTTACGATACATAGATGTTCTGCTATTTTATTGGACCGATCCAAATGTACACATTATTTAATTAATTACTATGTATTTTGTTTAAAAGGATACAGATTTATTAAAGTATACCATAAATGTAAAGCTTAAAGAAACTTGGTGGTAATTTCATTTTTTTAAAGAAGGTTTAACAATTTTTAAGTTTTAGAAGTTTTAGACAATTTAAATATTCTTTGATATATAAATTGTTTTCACAAAATATAGATTCACTATCGTTTGAGAACAGTTTACAAAAAAAAATATGTCATAATTGTTGGAGATATTCTATATGGATTTCTAGCGTTAGGTCACAACGCCATCTATTGAAGTTTTTGTAAAGCGTGATGAATGTGATGATTGAGTGTAGGTACAAGTTATCAAATTAAATAGACGTAGACCTAAATATGTTTTAGCTTTAATACTTATGGCATACTAAAACTAATGCTGTATATTTAAAATACTTACAGATCAATAACCTTCAAATAAATTTATTTTCTTGAAAAGTATAGTGTTTTAGAAGTTGCCATGAACATTCGCATAATTTCGTTTAATTGCACACCTCATCTAACATTTAAGCTTATGCTTTATTAGATTGAATTATATCTATCCATACTAAAAAAAAGAGTTATTAATTGACTATTAGTTATTTATTCTGTATATTTACAGAGTTTGCAATCCCTTTATATATAACAGGATTGAAAATGCTGTGTTGCTAAAAATGCCTGAATGTTCATAGCAATTGTATGAAGATGAGAATGACATGAGCTCACTTTGACGATGGTGCCGACCTGCGTTTCTTGTGGCTCAACGCGTGGAGCCTCTTTCTGCTCAGGTTCGACAGGCGCGCCTAGCAGTCGCTCCTTCATCTCGTGGATGTAAGGGCAACGCTGCATCGCGATGTAGAACTCGCGCACGCGCACCTGCGAACAATTGAATAAACATAAATATGTTGACACTTCCTGTTGACTTTTATTTAGCACTTTGTATCCAAGGGTCGACTATAATCCCAATAAGCCAAGTCCTGATTCATAAAATCTCAATAGTAATCTCCACTTTAACAATGATATCTTCTTCATCATCAGCCTCTCGCCATCCACTATTAAACGCAGACAAGGCAGTCCGCATCCATCCGCTGTTAGCCGTATAAGTTAAAGTAAGTGCTTATGGATAATTACAGTTGTTAACAAGTAACAAGTACAAAAGTAACAAGTAAGTAAGTCATATATGCTTCAGCATACGCCTGTTGGTAGGTAGCATAAGATACTACCATATTTTTAAGTATGCAAAAAGCCGTTAATCCTGGAGATCCGTAATTACTGGGTAAATAAAAATCCTTTCGTATCGCCGGCTTCTGATGCAGGAGCCAGAAGTATGTAGTGTTTCCACTACATACTTCTGGCTGACGGCCGGATTCAGGCGTTCGAGGAGGACCATAGGAGAATCCCAGGTAGTAAGACCGCCGGATCCCCGGGGAATCCTCGAGATATCGGGCCAATCATTATATGTTATTGCCCGATCACATTTTTGAGACCAGGCGGCTATCCTATCGCCTACCGCAGCAGTAAACCTGCCACCAGAAGTCCCTACTCTCTGGCGACATGCGGCAACATGGCGGCAATGATTGTTGGCAGGGACAGGTCTTGTCCGATTTGGTCGACCACGACTTTGTGTTCAGACACCTACACAGGGCAGTCTCAAGGCGTGTGCTGGGGGAGTCCCAGTTGGTTGCGCAGTGCCGTCTCTCCTCGCATCCAAACCGAGTCAGGTACTCACTGAAGCAGCCATGCCCAGTGAGTACCTGCGTCAGTCGGTAGGTGATGCGGCCTCCCTACCTATCCAAGCTTGGAGGTTAGGCAGAACGACGCCGACAGCGGCAGTTGCAGTTGGCGCGCATTCCGCGAATAATTACAAGTACATACATACCAAGCTAATAAAAGGTCCATCAGTTTCATTAAAGTTTAGCTAAAGCATAATTATACCCGCTTGTATATTCTTTGAGATATCGATAGGTATTCATATATCTTCTCCAATTCAATATAAATCAATCAACGCACCGCCAATACCAAGGTTGAACCTTCCACCTTTCATAGGAAAACAAAGTTCATGTCGGCCGGTGGGAACGAACACGCCTCGCCTTATTTGTAAGATAATGGATACTCTACGTGAATTACCCTCCTTTATAAGGGATACCAGACGTGTGCCGAATACAAAATAACTTCTTGTGTCATACGATCCCCCTTTTGGATCGTGACGTAAGAAATTTTGATGAATTGTGACATACATGTGTGAATTAATTGTACACAATTGTATGGTAGTATTTAAAAGAATTGATCCGGGGGTATAGGTACATTTTATTAATGAACTTTACATTTTACGGCAGATGCATTTCAGTCAAGTTAAGCCCTTGATTTTCGAAATTATTTTTGTAATCGAAGGAATATACTCCCGAGGTGATCCCAATACCACACAATCAGGATCTGATGGTGGGATCCTAGAGAAATCGAGTAAAACCCTCAATTTCTATAGCCCCGCTAACGTGTTTTAACTTGATTCTCTGCCTATATAGGTAGGTATTTGCGTTTAGTAGTCCTTATGTCATGCAATATTATACAAAGTCGCTAAACTTAGACATATAAAAACAAAGATTTCAAACAGACTAGAATTTCTATTGCTATTACTCGTATAATGTTACCTGTTATATTGAGGGTCGCACATATTTTAGTTTTTTCACTTCGATTTGTAATTATTTTTTATTTTTTAGTGATCTTTGTTAGTATTGTTTGAAGTCGGTTCCACTTTTTTAAAAGGATTTATTGATTGATTGATTAATTTAAAATTGAAATTCGAAAAGAAAATGAACAACTAGGGCATGTTATAAGTAATATAAAATTTAAATAAGAGAATAACTTTTTAAAACGTTCTTCCCCTATGGGTCATGTATTTAAGCTGGTTGAAATGGTCTTACAAGGACATATAATAACCGGAATATAAGGTAACACTATTAATAGATAATAATAATAACTTTTTTATTTATATGTTAAAGAGTCGGAACATATTGCTTTATTGTGGAGCTAATAATACGTTAAATCAAGCACGTATTTGTTTACTTTGTAAGTCTTTAGTTGTACAAGACCCATTTGATGTCTGATGCAATGAATATTCATCACATATAACATCAATCAGACCAAACGCTCATTGTTATAATTTGTACCATAGCATAAGCTAAAGCATTCTATTTTAAACGGCGGTAGCGTAATGACTAGAGTATCAAGCTTGCGATTAAGTGGTTGCAGATTCGACTCTGTCCAGATACTCAATGAACCTATTCTTAACAAAAGTATTTTATTTAGCTAGACTGATTACCAAAAATACTTAAAATGTGTGACCTAAATTATAAGCATTCTTTAAAAATTACACGTAAATAACACTAAGTAGTTATAACTAGAAATTGTAACAAGAACTGTTGAGCTCTTTATCCATGTGCCTCCGAATCGACATGCAAATTCATATTTATTGACGTGTTAGCTAATGAGCATGCATGAGCATAAAGCAATGGACCTGTAAATTGCAGGCTATTGCCTATTTAGTACCAGTACCAATAGGTAGGAAAATCGTACTACGAAATTGATACTTTCGTACTACGATTACGGTATAGTATAATGAACAGTAAATATTAAAAAAATATAGTAAGCGTTAATATTAAAGCTAGATAGGACGGTAATTATATTAGCAGGGATCGTCCTTAAGGGATGAAGTAATTATATACCAATTCGTCTAAATACTCTTAATCATTCACTCTAATTAAAATGTTGACAAAATATCAATTAATAAATACTATTTATATTCAACCAATATTAATAGTTTTGTTTAATAAATAAATGTTTATATATTTGTGTGTATAATTCGTGCCAACTAAACCACTAAACATATCTAAACCTATTAAACCAAATCTATGTATTTTTGTGTGATCAGATGTGTATATATATAAAAATTCACACTATTCTCAATGTCAAAAAAAAAATTGTTTCTTAATAATAATGGTTGACAACCTTTAATATGAAATCATATATCCAACCTATAACACTCCCAAATGTATGATTGTTCTTATCGAGAACAATGAGATAAGACAGACATGCGAAACCATTGTCGAATGTGAAACGTTTTCATCTGTCAAACTGAAGATGGGAAAGTTGGAACTGAATATGGGCAAGAGACAGATGTCAGCTACGAATGTAGGTTATAGACGCTTTTTTCGAGTTGAAACAAACCACATATTTCTGTCGTCAATAAAACACGTCGGTCTTGACCATTTCAGTATTTGGTAAACTCTCTGGTTTTTTGAACATCATGTTTCGTAGTTTTTTTAGCTTAAGATAATTGGGAAGAACTATCAGTATTAAAAATTATAAAGCTTAACTCGTCATAATTACAGTCCCTCATTAAGATACTTTCGAAGTCTCAGGAAGTCAATTAAAATGCGCAAGAGTAAATTAAAAAGTATGAAAAAAACATATTTCTAACTATTCCACATTGCATTATGTGAATGAATTTACCCCCGGAAAACTGGTTGAATGCAGAACGGTTTTTGCTCCTATAGAAATCTTTATTATGTGTGGACTACTTGTGTGGCTTGCCAACCCGTCTGGCCAAGTCTAGCAAATTGTGTCTGTATGACAAATGACTTGAGAGAAAAAAGTAGGTATCTGTACGATTGATGAATGGATGTGGTAGTATAGCGGTTTATTGTTGCAATTGAAGTGTTTATGTGACAGTAAAGCCATTTGATAGCTACATAGATAAATGAAGATACTTCTTGACGAATATAATTTAACTGTATTTTAATATTGCATCATTTTTTAATTCGTTCCTTATCCTAGTTGTGGTGACTTCCACATACAGTGAAACTAAGAAACATACTACAACGCCATCTAACGCAGACACACCGAACTACGGAGTAAGTGCTAATCCTTAACATATATACAACTTCCCAACATCGACCTTTGGGCCCCGGTCCGCTAGGCATGATCACCTCGCCAAGTCGGACGTTCACGGACACCTGTTTCTCCACACTATTTGATGTCGAGAATGTATCTTAAGCCCTGTAACTGTAAGGATTCCACTTGAGCTTTTTATGGTTTATAAACCATAAAAAACTCAAGTGGAATCCTTCCAAGGCAAGAGAATCGAAAAGGTACCAGATACAACAAAAATTATAAGTCATCATGATGTAGACGCATATAGGTTTTACTGTTAAAAAAAAATAGTATAGTAAGTACATTTTAAACTGTTTTAGTCGAGGTAGTAGCGATTTTACACTTATTTGAACATAAATACATCCACTAGCATTGTTTATATTTGTATAAATTAAAGGACAGCGTGTAAATCAATTTAACAAAATGCGGGCACTAGGTCATTGCACTTTCACAAGAATTACTGCTTGTAGCAAAAAATGTAACGATTGTCAATTTTTTACAACAAGTCTGAATTGGCAATGTAGAGTCACTGTGCAGCCATTTCGATGTAAAACTTGCACACGAGAATATTTTAGATCTTACTCACGAGATTTTAGACTTAGGACATCAGAAGATATTCGTATGTTAAGTCAATATATCACTTGAATGACATCCATGGCGTTTCGATGGTCTTTACAAAATATGGCAAGATACAAAGAATGGATCAAGTTGCAAATTTATAACTATTAACATTAACAATTTGAGAAATTCTCATAACACCGCTTAAATAAAATGAAATTACGAAATACTCACGATTTGTTCTTAATTTAACAATTTTAGAACACAACGCACATTAGATGATGTTTGTTTACATTTCAGTAACCCTGTAGGAGAAGTTCCTCCTTCTCATAAAACCCAAGAAATAATGCAGTATTTTTATTGTTTTTGCCAATGTATGTACTACGAATAGGAACTAATTAATGTGTGTATGATTGTATGTGTATTGTGTTACAAATTAGTTGTATATGACCTAGGCATATATAAACGGACTCAATATCTAGCTAGTTTAATAAGAAATATGATAGCATCAGTTCTGTTTACGATTTGGATCTAACAATCATCAAGGTTTTGTTGTAATTTGATCTATGAAATATCTACTGTGTCATTGACTTA